AAAAAAAAAAAAAAAAAAAAAAAAAAAAAAAAAGGAATTATTAGAATTTTCAGTAGGCATGGCAAAGGAAAATCCTGTTACAATGGTCTTAAAAACTAATTAATACTGATTTAGGTAAATATCTTAATCTGTGACTATCATGCTTCTAGAAAACATGATTTATTTGGTAATTTCTTCAAAGTTTAATTATTAACCCTCAGTATCACAATGCTAGAATCTACCCTGCTTTTAATATGCTGACTTATTTATGGCAATGAACTATAATGCATGAATAAGTTTGGATCTCTATGGAAAAATAAATGATGCATATATATCTAGATGTTAACCAAACTTATAATCTCCAATACTAAAATTGAAAAGTTGGAATGGTTGGCTACATTAGCATCTTTATTTCCATCTTGGTTTCTTTTATACTAATCAGTTGTTTTTTCAGCAGCATTTCAAGAAAATGTATCTGTCTCATGCATAATAGAGTCGGCTGCATATGCATTTGTCAATGTATAATTGCCGTGTCGCATTAGCAGTCTAGTCAAACTACGACAATTTCATTTGAGCATCCATTTTCTTTTTTGACTTTCAAGCATGCTGATCTTACTCAATGCAGTATCTGGTCTATATCCATGATTGAATGTTATCAAAAGATATCCTTAGAATCAAGGATTGTGAATTTGAATAATTTTAAAGAATGAATCTCGCATATCAGAATTTTAGTGGTAGCCCTAGCTGGATTAGCTGCTGGAATAAGAGTATCATACACAAACTTTGTTAATCTTTAACACGACGTGCCTGCCTGTTATGCCATATTTGTATTGTTCAGTGATGATTTTCTTTCTTCAAAAGGGTTGAGAGGGAGTCAAGAATTAATGAAAAGTAGTCCATTTAATAGAACCAACATGTGCAGTGTTTATTTTAAGCTAACAAATTAGCTTTTGCCAGGGTGTAACGGATATTTATTTGTAATATAATGTGGATTCTTCTATGGCGGTTACATATGTGTCGACGTAGTTTCAAACTGCGTGGGAAAGGTGCTTCTTTTCTTAATGTGGACAAATTAACATAACTTCTGGTCTCAAACTTTACATGTGGCACCAGTTTGATGAGAAAATGAAATGTTGAGATTGTTTGAAGTATTATGTCCATTTAAAGCTGATTCCTTTCCTTTTTTGTATTTTGTGTTACCTAAAAAGTGCGCAATCATTTTTGTAAACTTCGTCACTGCAATTGTATAAATGCCTCGATATCCAGCTGATATTTCTTATGCTATCATCTCTTTCTGAAAATTGTTTGAAGAACTCTGGTCTCTTTGATGGCTATAGAAATTAGCTTTTTATGGATGTTGAACTCAATCTTTTTCTTCTGTTTGACAGTTTGTATCTGCAAGACAAAGGACATTTGGGTCTGTGGATGAGCTCTGTTGCGAAGCCAGATACATCAGTCTGAGATGATGGAAGACCAAATAATGAAAGATCAGTATCAAGATAGATTCTTGTTGAATTCCTGGTGTATCAAGTATAGCTAGCAACAACTTTGCAGGATGTGTTGAAGTCTTGGTGTATCAGATAATCACTATGAACTACTTTGCTGGATGTGCGTCTTAAACCATTTTGCAAATTTTGAATTGAATACCTTCTGCATGGCATCATTGACACACCTCTAAGGATTTAATCACCTTTAAATTGACTTTAGAATTTTTCTTGGTGGAGGTGGGGGGAATGGGGAGTTAAAGTGGAGTGGCTGGATTCATTTCCAACTTATGTATCATTTCTTCTCTTGGTATGTTATTTTTCCTTTTCTGTTGCATTCCTTTTGCAGAATTGTGCATTGAATCAAGATCTGTTAATATAGGTTGTCTGTGGACCTGATTGCAATACTTGGAATGAAATGACAGCTTCAGCACTTCCTTTGCAGTTCCCAAGTATTTCAGGTCAGATATGCAAAAAAATTGCCCTTTCATTTCTTTCCTTTACGGTACCAGGAAGGATTTAGCATCACTGATTTGATAAGAACAGTTTTATCTTTACTCTCAGAGTTTAATCAAACGTTCTAACACTTAAATCAAGCTCCCTATTATCCTTGGTGCAGGAGGCAAAAGGTACTTACTGACCTGGTTATGCTTCAGGCTATAATTTTTGTTTTAATTGTGTTAATCTCCTTACGCGAGGTATTGCTTAACATAATGCAGTATGTTGCTGCTTTATACATGGTGATGATAGATTCAAAAAACAGTTTCATGAACGTTATAATGTTCTGGTTGCATGTAAGTTTAGTAGCTGATCTTCTTCTGCAAAGGAAGCTTTAGCCAACATGCATGTGGGGGTACAAAAACCATTGTGGAGGAACAAGTTCGAGAAATTTCCCCATAAACTGTTTTTATACTTTTATGTACTAGTTGAATGGATCCAGTCTGTCTATTACTCTTAACTGGAGAACGATTCCGTTGAACTTGAAATCCCTTGCTGGGAAGGGTTACTGATGGGTGGATGGAAAGAACAGTGTTGCAGTTGAGTCATTATTTATTCAGTTTTGAACTTTAATTTCTACAGGGTGTAAGCTGTCGGATACCAACTTTGTCATTTTTTTCATTTAAAGAGATGAAATTTTTAAGTTTCCATATCAGTCGGTAAACTTTTATTTATTTATTTATTTATTTAAGGACATAAGATTACAAACTTTGGGTTAAAACCTCAAATTGATTCTTCTACTTTGTTAAAAAGCTTTTTTTAGCCCTTTACTTAAAAAGTCCATTTTTAGTTTCCAAAATTTGAAATCTGATTTCTTCTTATCCATTTTGTTAAATTTTGACAGTAGATGAAAATTTTTTAAAAAAATAGACTAAAAAAGGTTTTTTTTTTCAATGTAGAGGGATCAAATTAAGGTTTTTTTTAAATTTTTTTTGTTTTTTTACCTTGAAATTTCTGTCATTTAACATTTCTGTCATTTAACGTGTTATGTATGTAAAACTTAATGAAAAGAATAAAAATTAGTCGAATTTCAAATTTTAAGAATTAAAAAAGAGTTTTTTTTTTAAATAAAAAAACTAAAAAGAAGTTTTTTTACCAAAGTAAATGAATCAAAATAAAAATTTGACCCAAACTTTACCCTACTTCTGTTAAGAATGCCATCTGCTTAGTAATCATTATTATTTAATAAATTCTTAAATAAAAAAAAATATAAAGATTTAATTTTTATAGAACTTTTTTTCTTTTAAAAAAAAAGGACAACAAAGTTAGGGTACTCGGAAGCACTTTTTCTCTGATTATGCCTTTATGGCAGGAATTATGTAAGCTAACAGCAGGACGGCTATTCTCAGATCTGTTGAAAATCCAGTTCCCATTTACGCGAAGCTGTTGAGCCCTCCTTCCTGGCCATAGAGAGCCCATACGTGGTCAATACTTGTGGCTCAAGAGAGGCCCATTCTAAGTGGCCCGTAGATGCTTAGTTAATAGTTAGTTAGTTATGACCCACCTAAAGCCCAATGTTGCATACTTACGGCTTGTAGAAAACCCAACTATGGCCCACGAAAAACCCATACCCGTCGTGGGAAAAAAAATCTTAAATTACGCGGTCGACATTTTATCGTTTCTTGTGTCTCAACGGAATCTTGGCTTCCCCTCTTTCTGTTTGGTTGCTGAGAAAATCGAATTAAGCAGGTAACGATTTCTTCAATCGTTTTTCTCGGCTTCCAAACAAATCTTTCTCTCAGTTCTTCGTTTTGCAGATGACTTTGATTGTGAATCACTGCTCCGCCTCCTTCCATCATTTCTGCAGAACCTCGGTCAACAGATTCCACCGTAGAACCTGTAATGGTGAGTCTATATACATTTTCTTCTTTAAATTTGCAGTATAAATCAATTTTAATGAGTTAGACTAACATTCATTTGGTCTTTGTATTTGAAGGTTTGAGATCACCTGTTTGCATGATGCATGATAGGCCTTCCCCTGGTGAGAGGGAGAGGATTGGTGAAGAATTTGTTTCTGTCAGAAAGAGTGGATTTAGATTCAATACCTTAGTAAATACAGTAGCCGGTAATGGCGACTTTCCTTTTTTTGATGCATCTTACTCTCTTTCTTTTACTACTAATTTTGTTCTTTTGCACTCAAGTTGACTGTGGTTTTTGTATCTTATCTCTTTGAATACTTGTATGATTAAGATGCATGCATGGTATATTGTTTAATATTCCTTTTTAAGAATGATTGTTGGAGCAATTGCATGTATTACTTCCTTGTAAAAGTGAACTTTATCCATTGTGTTATGTTTTCAGTGGTAAATTTGGCTGCAATTGACCCTGCACAGGCTCTAAGCATGACTGATGTCTTGGTGAGGATGTTGTGTTTGTCTTTTCTATCTATTCTTGTGATATGAGTGAATTCATTTTCCGGTTGTGTAAGCTCTTATCTTTCTGAGTTTGACGTAGATTGAACAAGAATTATTTCCCTTGAAGACAGGGAGGAGCAGCTGATTCTGTTTACACCTTGGCTGATGCAAGTGCTGGAGATTGGTTTGGAGGTTTCCTATTTTCAGCTGGCCAGCAAGCTAATGAAGCTGTTCAGAGCCAGTTATCAGCTCTCAGTTTCACAAGGTCTATTTCTGTGTATTTTTTTGCAACATTGATTGTTGGCATTACATCTCTGTCCTTTTACTTCACTCTTTCTTTTTTGCAGTTTGGCAGTTATTTTTGGGGCTGGCCTTGTGACTAGCCTTTCTCCATGTACTCTAAGTGTCCTGCCACTGACACTTGGTTACATTGGTAAACACTCTTTGTCTAAATGCATCATTTTAAATATAACAGGCCTTTTACTTCTGTATATATATTTTTTGTCATGTTTGGTAATGATTTTTGGTTTGATTTGAATCATTCAGGTGCATTTGGCTCTGCAAAAAGTAGGGGTCAGGTAATGATTTGCTAAAGGTCTTCCTTGTACCCTTCACTAATTTTCTAGCAAAATATATTCTTCCGAACCAACTGATCATTATTGAAGCATTTGATTGCTTGAATGGCAAAATGATGATAAATGAGTTGATTTCAAGACCCATAATTGTTTGGCAAGATAAAGGATCAAGAAATCTTCCAAAAGATGATAGTTGAACAGAGTTGCTCATACACAACCCAAAGGCCAACAGCTAGAGACTGGCATTTTTTTTTTTTTTTATCATTTACATACCTCCACATATATACAGGTGAAGTATTTGTATGGGAAACTAATGCGTTTTAATTGCCATGCTTTTTGTTGTCCAGATCATTTTGGATTCTCTGGCATTCTCATTAGGATTAGCAACAACACTGGCACTACTTGGCATAGCAGCCTCCTTTGCAGGCAAGGCATATGGACAGATAGGGCAAGGACTGCCGTTGGCTGCTTCTGGTTTGGCTGTTATTATGGGTCTTAATCTCCTTGAGGTATTGACTCATGCTGCAATAAATTTTTTTCCCACAAATTCACAAATGTGTTCACTGGAAATGATTTAGTGCACCATAAGTTTAAGTGCATTAATGCATTATTAATGCCCTACATTAAGGAGGCTTCTCTTTTCGTGAGTTGATGTTGCTATCAAGTTTTCAACAGGTTTGGATGTTATATGTTGTTGACCATGCCTTGCAAATTCTCTTCTTTTTCATGTCATTCTTGCTGGAATCTGCAACTGTCTGAAGCCTTTTATTTATGTTTTTTGTTGACAAATTATAATTAAGCACTTTCTTTAATTACAAAGAACAATTTGTTTTATTCAGATATTGCCAACCTATTCTTCTTTTCTAACACGATCTCATTATTTGGGCAGATCGTTGAACACTTTCTTCAATTACATAGAACAATTTCTTTTACTTGGATATTACCAACCTACTCTTCTTTTTTAACATGGTCTCATTATTTGACAGATCATAGAGTTACAACTTCCCTCTTTCTTTAACAATTTTGACCCCCGTGCTGCTGCTGCTAATTTCCCATCAAGTAATTGACTATCTTTTTCCTATAAAACAAATCATATGGATGAACATAGTGTCCAAAAGGGACAAGAATCTCACGCTGGGAAAGAAAAATTCATGTGTTAGGTGTGCAAGCATATTTAGCGGGGCTCACATTTGCACTGGCTGCCTCACCTTGCAGTACACCTGTCTTGGCCACTTTGCTAGGATATGTAGCCTCATCCAAGGTACTTTAACCACATGATATTCTTGAATCAGCTTTTTCAGTTTATCATTTTCTTTAATTTGTGTAGTTATGGAAAATAATATGACAGATCTGTTCTGCATAACAGGATCCAATAATAGGAGGCAGCTTGCTCTTGACATACACAACTGGTTATGTTGCTCCTCTACTTATTGCTGCTTCTTTTGCTGGAGCGTTGCAGGTATCTAAAACTGTTTTGTTCTGAACAAAGGGAGTACAAATATAAATTATTTTGATACCATATTTCAACCTCAGGTTATTGAAGTATGGTTTATGTGACTGATTAGGCATCCATTCTTGCAGAGTCTGCTTTCATTCAGGAAGTTCTCAGCATGGATCAATCCAGTGAGGTAATCAAAATGGATATTTTCATCAAATTATTTGTTTCAAGAGCCAATACTCACTGAATTTCTTTTCTTACACTTAAAGTCATGATAATTATGTAACCCCATAGCCCCACTTTCTCCACTGGCCTAAGTGGAGCCTCCATTTTTGTCGAGCATGTGGTAACGACTATGTGGTCACCATTAGTTCACTCAACAACTAGCATTTGCCTATTGCTATCGTATTCTTGCCATGTTGGTGTCATACAGCCAGTTTATCTGCCTGGCAGGACCCGATTTGTCTTTGTTCTTAGATTCCTTACACCTTTCTGATGTAAGGTTAAATTTGATTGCTTTTGCAGTGGGGCACTTCTGTTGGGTGGGGGTTTGTATACGTTCTTGGATAGGCTTTTCCCTGCAACCACAACAATGGTAATGTAAAGATATCTAATACAATACACTGCACAAAGTACTACTCCATTGTTTGGGCAAAAACAAAAAGGAGAAAACAAATGTAAATCATTGAATGTCAGTATGTAATCTCGCGCATCCTTTTTTTTTTTTGGATAAAGGCGCATCTTTTCTCCCAAAATAAATATATGGGAACTCATTAGAATTTAGAAGTTAGAACCATATTTTTTTTAAACCATTTTTTTTTTTAACCAGGAATCTTATCCATTTCGGCTTTCAGTATTGGTCCAAAAAGGGGAAGGGTTTCGGATTCGGACAGAGGGATGTGCTTTTCCAACTCCTACTTTCGCATTTCACATTTTTTCAGATGTTTGTTGGCCACTTACTCTGATAAACACTAAAAACAACCCTAAAATTGTTTCCATTGAATAGCCGAATTCTATTAAGAGGAGCGTTAGTGACACTCTTTTTAGTTCTTTATCAACACTTACAATATACTTAAGTTATTTAAGTTCAAAATAGATTGATCAATCATATTGCTAGTGGTGAGAAAGTGTAAAAAACTATTATAGCTAGTATTTCACTTTAATTAATAATAATTTTATTCAAATTTGAAGTTGAACACAAAAATTTGGATTTCTCATCTCATAAATTGAAGGGAAAATACTGTTAACCCAAAATTTCCATTTTTACCAAAATACATCTGATAAAGTTCCCAATTAAGTAAAGTAACAATTTTAATTTAAAAAAAAAAAACAAAATGAAGAGAGAAAAAATATGAAAAGGAAGAACACCTTTTCAAAACACAGTTGTTAGTTACATGACTTACATCATTCAATATAAAATTTAATTTCCAAATGAGAGATAAAAGATAATTTTACTTTTAACCCTCGAATTTTCTCTGAAATCGCTAATTTGCCCCTCTCCTAATCATCGCCTGGTACTGGTTTAACGACTCTTGCCTCTGCAACCTCATCTCCTCGTTAACCTTCTTGATAAACGCTTCCACACGGCGGTTCAACTCGTCCTGACTCAGCGACGGTTCCTTCCTGAGCTTGCCAGATTCAGAAGAACGAGTTACGGGCGACTGATCTTTCGTCGTACCTGAGGCGGTGGTGGCTTTGCCGTCGCTTAAGGTTTCCGATTTCTTCGTTTTGTTCGGAAAAACTGTAGAACTGGAGGCGTGCTGCTGCTCCTTCTGCACGCGCTCCCATGTGTCGGACTTCTTCAGGTGCCTGGTTAACGGCATGTGGCGGCCCTCCGTTATCGTCTTCCACGTGCTCTCCAGCGTGTCGTGGCGTTTTGGCTTCGTCACTCCCAAAGCCTTCCCTGTAACACGTTATGAAACAGTCATCAATTTACTGTATGTTGATTTTGATTGAAGCCGGAGACCGAGTTTGGCCGCCGCCGGCTTTCGTTGGTGTATGAATAAGCGAGAGAGAGTACCTTCTGGAAGATGATGGAGAGCTTTTACGGTTTTCCGTTGAGCGAACCTTCTAGAAACCGGGGGTTTCTCAACCTCGCTCAACAAACTCAAAAGTTCCGCAGTGTCCATCCTTTCCGGCGCTTTCACCGTGTTATCACCACCGTCCATTACGACTCTTTCCGTGTCTGCCGTCCGATCTTCTACAACCGTCGCATCTCCGTAATCGTATCCGCTTCCACCATCGTCGATATACACGTCCCGGAAGGTGGCGCCATTGTAAGCCTCCTCGACTGATGAGGTCTTGGCTGCTGGCACAGCTGCTGCATCTCCATAACCGAATCCAATCTCGACAGCGTTGCTATACACGTCGCTTGTCGAGATCCCGCTCTCATCACCGGCAGGTCCGGCACCATTGTAAGCGTTGACTGACACCCTATCCGCAGGCACTGGCGCCGGAGCTGGATTGGTGACAGATCTTGGATGAAATTTGGAGGATGCGACGATGGAGATGATGATGCCGTTGATGAGCAGGTACAGATATGGAGGACGTAAATAGGAGAGAATGATTGTGTAGAGTGAAGGGATATCAGAAACTATAAAATCCGATACCAGCGGGACAAAGAGCTTGAAGATCACGGCCGCCGATACGACAGCGGCGGATATCAACGCCACTTTTAGAGAGAGCATTAAATTCCCCATGAGGATCTTTGGAGGCTTAGGTTTTAGTTGGTTTCAGTGATCAGAGAAAGAAAGAAGGGTGTAGTGTAGACGAGAAATGGAGGAGAGGATTAACTGAGGGGGGAATATATATAGGGGGAGAAGAGGAAACGTGGCTCGTGGTATTGGCCGTCGATGTATTTGAGGCGTTCCACGTGTAGATGATGGACAACGATGGCAGATTCGGTGACGAAGTCGCGCCCTCATGGCAGGCTCAGTGCCGTATACCGAACGTGTTTGCCTGGGCATTTGTCTAGGTATTTCCTTCGCTCGTGGACTTTGATTTTTATTTTGGTTAAATGCTTAATTTAGTCCCTTAACTTTAAGAAATGAACATTTTTGATCCCTCAACAATTTTTTGCACTTTTTTGATCCCTCAACTATATGAAATGCACTCCGTTAGTCCTTCTGTTAATTTGGGCAGTTAACCTTGCTTAGGTGGCATTTTTTATATTTTTTTTGATGACGTGGAGAGCAGAACTTAAAAAAGTAACGACGTGGCAAAAACTTTTGCCATGTCACATGCTACCTGGCGAAAACACACTAAATTCATTCAAATGGGTCCCACATCACCACTAACAATTGCAATCGGTTATGAAGTTCGACGAAATCCGGCAAATCTGGGTTCGATGTAATCCAGCAAATAAGTTCCATCAAACCCAGCTCAATTCACTGAATTCAATTGTTCAAAAATCACTCGCAACAACCTGCAATTTGAATAATCTCTTGGCAAACAATCATATAAACACAAAAAGTGGAGCTGGGTTCTGGGTTCGGTGGAACCCAGAGGTGGGTTCCAGCGAACCCAGTGCTGGGTTCGCTCGAGGAAGAAGAAAAAGAAAGAGGAGGAAGAAAGAAAGAGAAAGGAAGAAGAAAAGTAATAATGTGAGTTGGCATAAAAAAAATTCCACGTCTATCATGTTTTTAATTTGTCTTTGCCACGTCATCAAAAAAATTATAAAAAATGCCACATAAGCGAGTTAACGGTCAAAATTAACAGAAGGACTAACAGAGTGCATTTCGTATAGTTGAGGGATCAAAAAAGTGCAAAAAATTGTTAAAGGACCAAAAATGTGCAAACCACTAAAGTTGAGGGACCAAATCTAGCATTTAACCTTTTATTTTTGTGTTTAGTTACAATTTTTATTTATTTTTTGAGTTTCTTTTTTACAATTTATACAATTTATACTATTAAAGATTCTATTGCTTAATTATTAATTTATTAATTTGAGTGAAAAAAAATTTAATTTTTTTTTAAAATTTAAAATTTGATTATTATGAATAAAGAAATAAATATTAGATAAATTTTTTAATTTATAAAATTTAAACTAACTTGATTCTGAATTAATCACGTACTAATATAATTTTCAAATATAAAAAAATTTAATAAAAAATAAAAAACAAAATCCTATCGCTAACCTAATTAAGTGTCCCTTTATATAACTCAATGAAATCTAAACTTTTTGGCCACCTTAGAGCAGGATTTAGGATTTTTTTTATCTTAATTATATAATAAAAGATAATTATCTGTTATTCTTTATCTTATCTTACTCGCATATTATACGGCTTGAACTCATTATTTTTATTTTTAATAAAAAAAATATTACTAAGTGTAATTACCAACGAAATCTAAAATTTTATTTTGAACAATTTTAATATTATTTACAAGTATATATGGACGAGAGGGAAAACGAAATCTAGAATTTTATTTTGAACAATTTTGACATTATTTACAAGTATATGTGGAGGAAAAGAAAAATGAGTTTCGTGAGATTCAAACACGTCACCCACAAAAAGTAAACAACTTTAACTCAGTATCTAATACCACCGGTTTAAAACCACCCATTCAACGAAATCTAGAATTTGAAACAATAAACTACATGTGTTTTGTCAGGATAATATTAGTTCTATTATACTTTTTGAAATATATTTTAAAATATTATTTTATAATTTAATATAATTTAAATAATAAAATAAAAGATTTATCGTGATTACAACTCATTGTATATATAAGCTAAACATTGAATTTGGGATATAAAGTTAAACCTACAACTTGCAGTCTCATACAGTTAAAATTTGAAGGGAAACATTGGAATGAGAACTTACGTAGAGATAGCCGGCCTGTATAAAATCCAGCGCTTCTCATGATTGTAAAGATAAGGTTGCCTGGAAAATCCTAACCCTCTTGGACCATGTCAATTTGAATCCTCACAATCCCCCTCCACCAAAATAAAACAAAGTACTTTTCAAAATCGTGTGTCCAATTTACAAGCCTATTGGTTTCATTTTATATTATTAGTTTATATAAAAAATTATAAAAATAAATTTTAATTTTAATTTTAATTTTAATATCTTGCGAAATGATTTAATTAAATGATTAATAAAATTTAAATTATTTTTTTTATAAATTAATTATAAAAAATACAATAATTACATTTTTAAACTATATTTACTTAACTTAGAATAATTACACTTTTAAATTATATATGCTTAACTTAGAAAATTCGTAAAACGAATTACTTGTCCCTTAAATATTCCAATGTCTCGGTTCTTAATCTCCCAAAACAGGGGCATTGTCACAGACTTTTGCATTTTCTAGGCAAATGTTTAATGCAAAATCCAGTTGGCGTTGGATCTTTCAAAACAAAAGCATGTATATGCCATTTAATTTAAGGATTTTCCTACCCTACACCATGAGAACTCAAGATGAAGATAAAATAAGTGTGTTTTTTATATTTAATTTTTATTAAAAGTATAAATATTAACTTTAATTAATCAATTAATTAAAATCATTCATTTATCAGTGATATTAAAATATATATAAATTTTTATAATTTTTAATATATTTATTATACTTTTAATTTATACTTTAAAAATATATATTAAACAAATCCTTAATTTAATTAGTACTTAATTTGTAAGTAACACTGTTACGACTGGATCTTGGGAAAATTTTCCCCTTTTTTTTCTGGGTGGTGGTTGTCTAATATGCCTCTCAACGTGCCCACCATCCCTCCTTGTACCTGCCGACCTCATTTTGACCTTTATAGCATTAGACAATTTAGACACTTACCAACAATTGAAGTCATTTTTGGCATGGTGCTTTCCTAGTGTCGTTTTCAAACATCAATTCAGGCCTCAATATGGTACTTTTAAAGTTACTTTATTCAAATACCTACTAGGTTTTCCTTAAATTTTAATCAGTATTAAACTTAAGATCAGATGTTATATATATATATATATAATCACACAATAAAAATAATTTTTTTTATTCGTTTAACTAACTAGTTATATTTTACTTATATGTTATATAATTTAAATTTAATTTTTTTTTATTTTTAATAAAAAAATTATCATAATTTATTTAAGTTCGTTAACTCTTTCTTTTTTCTTCTTTCGCTAATTTTTCATTTTTGCCAATATTTCGAGTTCATGCATCAAAATTTAATAGTAATTTGCTTTTTGTACGAAAATTTAACAGTAATAGATATACTTCTGATCTTGTATACACATAAGACTAATTGTGAACCAATTTTTTAAGGTATCAAGAAATAAGAAGTCAACTATTACAATATTAAACTAAAAGTAACAAACTATTTAACTCCTAATTGATTAATAACAAGAGAGCTAGCCTCTCCATTCCAATGACATATGTACTACTAAAGATTCTTCCAGTATCAGTTATCACCGACATCTGCAGAGTGCATGTGCTTTTCCGCGTTAATGTGATTAATTAATGAACAAATTTCGTTTTTTTTTTCTTTTAACATGGGGAATTATATATGGGGGAGTGGAGAATTTTTAAACCATCCGTGAGAGTTGAATTTTTAAGTAATTTAATCCAAACAAGTAAGATTTAAAAACAAATAATTGGACTTGAGGGTCAAATCAAATAAATTTTAAGGATAATAATGTGTGTACACCCGGATCCCACGCCCGGGTGTGCACACTTCCACATAAAAAAAAATGCAACACCCGATTCAACTTTTTTTTCATGTGGAGGGGTGCATACCCAAGTGTGGGATCGGGTGTGCATCTATCATGATCCAAATTTTAATATAGAGTATGATATATCTATGAATTAAGATCTTTTTCTTTTCTTTTCTTTTAAATAGTAACAGAAACTTTTCTTACACTATTAAATTCGATCCAAATCCAATGATTCATGAGTGTCATTGTTACATTATATGTAACCCTTTACTGTTTTGCTGTTTTCTCTAGTTTGTCTTTTTATCACGTTACATATAACTCACTCAAAGCATATTATTCTTTTGGAGTTTGGTCGGATCGCAGAAGATGATTTACTGTTTCCTCTCATTTGTCTTATTATCACGTTACATTCTTACATGTGACTCAAAGGGTGCTCTCCGCACCTGCGCCGGCTGTCTAATAACTAGTTTTGGAAGTGCATTTTCACCTGTATGATACTAATTCATATCCTCGACTTCTGAAATTTGTGTTTGTTTAAAAAATGGTGTTCTCCAATTGGTAACTATTTTAATTTTGTCATTTTTTTCTCAACAAAGAAACCGCTTTACATTTTGAAATTGAAAAGTATACTGTAGTTTATATATATTGTATCAAACTACATTACATTGATTATAAGATGGTAATGAATCTCATGATATAAAATTATGGTTTCTTTTTATAAAAATATAAATTGTTTGAATTTTAATACATAATTTTAAAAAATATTTTTGTAATATATAAATAATAATTAAA